CCCCCCCCACCCCGCTCCCTGCCCCACAGCGCCCCCTAGCGCCGCCCTGGGGCCAGCCCCACCTGCCAGGGGAGAGCGCCCCCTGCTGAGCCCCCGCCCCGCTCCCTGCCCCACAGCGCCCCCTGGCACCCTACCTGGTACAGCTGGCCCATGGTGGCGCTGGTTGGGGGGATGACGTTGTTGACAAAGAAGAACAAGGCGTCCTCGGCCCTTAGGTGGATTCGCTTCCGGATCAGGAAGTAGAACTGTCCGACTGTGGGAGGGGAAAGGGGGGGGGGGATCAGGATGGGAGAGGGGGGGCGCCCTCCCCAATACCCTCCCACGACCCATACACTCCACCCCCCCACTCTCCTCCCCCCTCCAAGGGCCCTTCTGGGACCCCCCCCACAGCACTGAGTTGGGGGGGATTCCCCCTATGGGGCACACCCTGGTTTATCTAGCCCCACTTCCAGGCGTTGGAGAGGCTACCCAGTACCCCTCCTCCGTGCCCCCCCAAAAACTCAACCTGTCCCTTTAAGAGACTATCTCAAATCCCCCCCCTTCATCTGCCCACCCCCACTGAGACCACCTTGGCTTCCCCCTCCATCTGCTCCCCTCATTGCGCTCCAAGACCCCAGTTCCCAGAGACAGCCCCCCAAGAACCCCCTCCCCCCATATCCAGTCACAAGCCGCCCCGTGACTCTCCCAGCAGCACGGCGCCCCCTGGGGGGGTGGGGCAGCACTGACCGGTGAGGTCTGATGGGACCAGGTATTTCTTCTTGTCCAGGTCTCCTATCCGGGCTTTGGGGGCTTTCTCCACAATCACCTGCGGGGGACGGAGGAGACACAGGGATCAGCTGGGCGCCCCCCCAAGCACTTGGGGGGCTGGAAGTACAGCCCCATGGGGGGGGAGGGTGGAATAGCTCAAGCCAGGGGGCGGTGGGAGGGGCTGGGATGGATCTGCCCAGCAGTCCAACCCGAACACCCCCACAAAACACACACACACACACACACACACACACACAGTGGTCCAACCCGACCACCCCCCCAAAACACACACCCACAGTGGTCCAACCCGACCACTCCCCCCCCCTCCCCCCACCCCGAAGGTCCCAGCAGGGGAGGGCAGGGGCAGGAGGAAGGCAGAGAAGGGGGGGCAGATAAGGTCCCGGCATGGGGCAGGAGGAACACAGGGACAATCCCGCAGGAGAAGGCAGGAGGAAGGTAGGGAAGGGGAGGGCAGGAGAGGGCAGGGGGCAGGAGGAAGGCAG